CTGCAAAGCACGGTGAACGAGAGGGTGGGAGACAGGACAAGCGTGAGGCGTTAGAGAGAGGCAGCCGTCGGAATCAGCCCTATATATTACTCGTGAGGAGTCAGAGGGAGTGTCCATTCATAACAGCCAGCATAAGTGGGCAAGGGGAGAGGGAACACTTGACTGGGGTTGTACCTTGACATCAATATTACACACAACAGCTAGGACCATGTAATTGCAGCTTCCAAATGAGCCAAGGCAAGGCTTAGGCACGAAACCTTGCTCTGCCAGATTACCCAGGCTACCGGTTCTATGAATAACCAGCTACCAGCGCACGGGCGGAGCGGTCCTCAACAGGGCAAACGAATGGACAGGCGGACAGAGGCAGACCACTGCCTTTGCGCTTGTTGCCGTGTTGTACCGTCACTGATCAGGCCAAGAGGAGACAGCAGGAATCCCCAGTGAATTGGCCGTCGCAGAGTTCAGCAGAGCGAGCGTACGGAGAGGGGAGGTGAGAAGCAGGACGGGTGGCGACGCAGCTTACACGGAGAGATGGGGAGCTCCTGGACTAATATCGGCACATCATGACAAGAGACAGGGCCCGGCACTCTCATGCGAGGGACACGCCTCTCCGCGGGCAAGGCTAACCATCGCGCACGGGCGTGCAGAATCAAGGCTAACAAGATGCGCGAGAATACTCGGAGGTATCCTTGTCGATGTAGCTATCCACTTTGGGTAGGTTGCTGAGCCGCGTTGTGGGACAGCGAGCATGGGGCATGGGTCACCGCACATTCACGAGAACAAGAGATGCAGCTTGGCTTGGCCTGGGGGAGAATAAGATATCTCCACTCGCACCTACCCAAGCAAGGTTCAAAGAATATCGCCTCAACCCTCGAGGGGTCGGGTTGCAATTCTCGTTCTAGACCGTACTGAGAAAAAGGCCGAGTTGCGGGATGGAGAGGGATGACTGGTGGCGGAGAGGTCGACATCTCAGTGCCTAACCTCCGCACTCATCATTCGAGTGGTGGCAGAGCTCGACGATGGGTGGAACAGGCACCGGTGTTGGGGGCCAGAGGGTACCATCGCCAAGGATGCAGAGAGAATTAGGTGTGATACTGCGCAGTGCGGTTCGGTCCCTTGATGCGTGTTAGTGCTCGGCCAGAGCAAAAGAACGTTAGCCAGCAGAGGGCACCTGCAAGCCACCATCTCGCAAGTGGGGCTCTAAGACAAGAGGGAGGATGACAATGAGCCTTTTACGAGGGGCTGAAGGCTCTGAACCAGTACCATCTTGCGAAAACAGCCCGCGTCCTCAGCCCGAGAAGGTGGCGCGCGCGCGGGTCATTGACTATGTGGGCACACGTTAGGCGTGTAACAGCGTGCCAGCCTAGTGAGGCAGAGAGACATACAGGCCGTGAGAAAATCGCATTCGTAGAGCGGCTGCCACCTTGGGAAAGAAGCAGCGACAGATGCGAGGTTGGCCAAAAACCAGCCGAATCGAATGTTCCCTCCCAAGATAGGTGGGGTGAGTGAGAAAACCCCTGGCCCCCTGCCTAGTTCAGGCCGACCCAGTGGAAAATCTTCCCGATGGAGCCAGCCAGGTATTTCCATGGCAACCCAACAGTCGCATTGAGAAGTCGATTGGGGGCGATGCTGACGTACACTCTGACAGGGGACGAGTTCTTTTGTTGGCAGTCAGACGAAGGAAAATTCCAATCCATCATGTGGGGATGGAGTGAAGGTTGACCGTTTGTCTTCTCCCGTCGGCCGTAGCTGCCTTCTGCCGCCAGACCAGCGCCAGGCACAGACAGCACGAAGACCCGCTCGTGCTTTCCCTCGAAAGTTGTCACCTGGCCAAGCCTCTAGGAATTGGCTGGTATCGAGACCCTGATTGGCCGCCTTGGACCACCCCACCGCTCTTCCAACCCCCGCTCCATTTCCCCGCCCGGGAGCCTTTTTAGCAAGCATGGCGAAAGAGTTGGTACCTGCTACGGGTGCCAACATCCAGCATCCGCCAGCACCACCACCGTTGGCCAGTGGAGAGTGCAGGCAGGTACCCTTGGGACTGACAACGGGCCAAACATCATTGGGTGATATCGTTGAGCTGACAGCAAATTATGGCCATTGTTGGGGCAGCCATGTGCTGACGGCAGTCAAATGTACACAATCCGCTGCCAACGAGTTAACCAACCCATCGGCAGCCACAGTCACAGTGATACGACTAAAAACCGACGATCCCTGAGCCAGCGGCCAGGCCGGTCGGGTATGGACGACCGTTCTTCAATCACCAATATTTGGACTCTTTGAGCCTTGGATAGCCATCACCCGCATCACGTTACGTAGCATCAACCCGCGGCCGCCACCCACAAGGCCTGGCTCAATGCATGCGGGCTGGGGAGGATGCCGTCGCTATCACACATCAACCCCTCCAAGGTCCATTCCATCAGGCGAGACATTTGACATTTGCCAAGTCAGCCCTGTAGCCTGTAGCGGTGGTGCAAGGGAAGGCCGGTGGCTTAGGTCATGCTAAGCACTGGCAGCCCCTGCCACTCGCTAAGTGCTAGCAGGCTTGGCGCCATTGTATGTCATCAATCTTGTCTTGGCCTAGCAACAACCAACAACCTCGGAGGCTACGACCAATTGAGCATGCGCTGCGTCTCTGCTATCCTCGACGGAGAATACTGGCTTTAGTGCCTGGCACTGTTAGTTGGTCCATCGTCGCTCCAGCTGCATTACTTAAAGTTGAGTTGATGCCGTGGCATTCGTTTTGCCTATAATTCATCTAGTGCTTGCTTTTCCTATGCATCCATGGAATTCTGAGACGATGATCTACGGCTGCTCTGGCTGGCGAACCATCGCTCCACATCCGATTCGGTTCCCACGTGTGTGTCTGGGCCAGGCCAGCACCAGGTTGCTCACACCCTGCCCATCTCACCTCATCCTTGCTGTCCTCGAAGACCGAAAGGACCGACCGATCAATTGACTAAAAAAATCAAATGCTACCAAACAAGGAAAGACATGCCAATCACTTTGGGATGCAATCTCTTTTTTGCTTTTCCCATCTCGCAAGTATCCGCCACCACCCGCTCGCAACTTGCCCACCACCGACGCGCCATCTTACGCACACGCACACCCGCTCAGCTCGCAGGCAAAAGAATGCGGGACTGGCAGGGTAGCTGTTTGCTTCGGTCGCGAAGCCGTCATCGAGGTAGCCAACTCCCGCTACGATGCATGCGCGACCACTGATTAGGCAGGCAAGCGTTGGGCATGCCACCTCACCGTCAATGCTTCTCCAACCTTACTCTGGCCCTCCCTGCAACTGGTGGCCCATGACCGCCGATCCCTGCTTGGGAGCTTACCATCCGCTCTTCAGGCCGCCCACTCTTGTGGCCTGCGCCCCGATCTGAGTGGTGGCTTTTCGCCTGGTCGCCAAATAGACCCTGGATCATTGCAACCCTCCGTCGTTGTTCACGGTAAACACGAGCTGATGAATTGCCCTTACCCTCACATTCGGGCGAACCATAATGGCGGGTTGGCCGCATAGGCGGCTGCTTTCGTCGCATATATTCGACGCCCATGGAAACTCAGACAACCACAACAACAGCTGGGGATCTTCGCCTTGTCGGGCCTGCGCGCCATATTGCTCTTCTCAACTCAGCTCCCTGCTAATACGATATACGCATGAGGACTTGCTCTGGGTGAGACACCTCGCTCGCATCGCAGCCACTCGCTGAAAGGAACATCCGTAGTGCACACAGCCTTCGAAGCCCGCAAGACTCATCCTCCCCAATGCGATCGCTGACCACTTCTTCCCCTCCCCTTGCATAATACGTAGCCAAAGCTTGGATCCTCAACAGGCCCGGCCGCTCTGATTACGATGCCAAAGTGGGACGGCCATGATCACACTACCTCATCTGTGATCTTTTTTGGCGTCTACCGTGCAACTCACTCAAACAAGGCTATCGGGTTTGTTCCCCTCGGTTCAGAGGTCTTCTTTCCTTTTTCCTTGATCCTCCGTGGTTGCTGCACCACCCCTGTCTCTGCATGCGTAGCCACCCACTTCCCTGCGCGCCAAGGTCAGCAACTATGGGTAAGGCTTGTCCGAAAGACCTTCGGTCCCAGGGTCGGTCCCAGGGTGTACACTGTACTCCGGACACACATGTGAAATGTGATGGAGTGGTCGAGTGGCTCGTGGAATTACAATGTACCAATGAGGGGATCTCGTCCACGCTGCTCCGCCAGACTCGGTGCCATTTCCTGTAATGGGGCCGTAATATGAACTTCTGTCCAACGCGGTCTCGACTCAACCGGGCAGCCCGCGGACTTGTCACCATTAGGGCATCTTTACTAGTTCCTCTGTGGCAAAGATAATCTCATCGTAGGCTATCCATCTATCCGCGCTGTCGTTGCGTGGTTTGCCGTATGTATCTCAGCCCTCCTCACCTCATGCAAGTGATTGTGATTTTGCCCCAGCAGGGTTAGCCCAATCGCTGGATTCTCGCAGCTGAATCGACCTTTTGCATTAACTCACATACTACATACTTGTACCCCATCGACGTGCTCACTCCTCTCTGGTGCTCTTGATTCCCAAAGCGGGCCCAGGCCATACCCCCAGCCCTCTCCTTCAGCTCATCACCACTGCTGGCTGAGACCAAAGACTGCCTGCTCACTCACACCTCTCGTTCTGATACACGGGAAATTGCATGTGTCCAGCCGGATCGAACTCTGTGGCGTTTGCGGCTGGTCTCCTCTGGATCGAACCTGGCGGTTTAGACCCAGACACACAGTATCACCCTGCTGTCGACCAAGACAGGAGAGGGGAACCGAACCTGTGAGGCGGCGAGACACACGGCTCCCAGTTTGCAGATCCAACGGCGAAGATTGGGACTGGAATTGTTCACGACCCATTCCCCACCGCCAATCTGCCGGGTGATGCGCTTCTAAGTCGGTGTTGAGTTGATTCATCAATTATTCGGCTTCGTTAGCATAATTTGTATTAAAAAAAAAACGGCGGAGAGAAAGCGATGAAGGTCGCGGTTCAATCACTGCTCGCGGCCTTGGCCGGCACTGCCGTTGCGCAGTTTGGTGGATGGAAAGAAGGCCAGGTCAACACATCCATATGCACATGGGAACAACTCCGAGGTTTGTCTTCTATACCCGTCTTGGGATGTTTAAGCACATCCATGCATACTTCGATGACATATGCCGATACCCATCCATGCCATCACGACATGGATGCACCTTTCCTGAATACATGGCTGACTGACCGTAGGTGCCTTGGTCCGCGATATCATCTATCTTGATGGCGGCGACCTGAACTGGATACCGGGCATGAACGATGGAAAATTTGGAAATGTTCTGAACGATGGTCTGTCAACCTTTCCTGGTCGAACCTAGTGGTCAATATACTGACTCGATACGCAGGCAACTTGAGGGGACCAATTCTCACTTTCAACCTCAGTCAGTCTTTTACTGCCGACACAAACGTAACGAAGATTCTCACAGATAACTACATCTCCAAGGCGAGGGGCGGTACCGGCAATGCTCTCGGTGCCGCGCCCAACTTCGTAGATGGCGGTATGCTGTACAATGATGCCGAGTTTTGGATGTTTGGCGGCAACCTCTTCCAGAACAAGAGGTTGTACGACAACCCGGACGAGCACTGGGCTCTCGGCTTCCAGGCCTACCAGTACGGCCCGGACAAGTCGCTCTGGGGTCCCGGGTTCGTCGACGCTAAACTTGGCAACGTCAGTCGGTATATGACATATGGCGGCGCGGTCAGCGCGCCCTCCGAGAACCTGGCCTGGTACTTCCCGGGCATGACTTCGCCCTCAGAGGGAGAACTCACTACCGTGATATACTCAAATGGATCTACCACGGCGCAGAACGTCTCTACCTCCATGGTTACGCTGGATATGGCAACGCAGAGCAGCGAGAAGTGGGCCTACAAGACACTACCTACGAGTGTAAAGGGTCGCGCAAATCCAGAGGTCGTCTGGGTGCCCGTCGGCGAGCAGGGTATCCTCGTTGTTCTTGGTGGTGTTACCTACCCCGAATGGGCCGGTGTAACAACTTCACGCAAGTCGGAGAACGAGACCGCGAGTGTAAGTGTTTTCAAACCAATCTCTCTACGCAGCTTCCCATTACAGACTCTAAACCCTCTATAGAAAAGCGAAAGCCCCAAGTTCATGCAGGAGATCGATGTCTACGATATCAAGAACGACAAGTGGTACAAGCAATCGACCCAGAATGGCCCTGGAGCCACCACAAGAGGATGCGCTGTGGTTGCACCCGCTTCGGACTATTCCAGCTACAACATCTACTACTACGGAGGCTACGATGGTATCAACCCCAAGCAGCCGTATTATGACCAGGTCTGGGTCTTGTCCCTGCCCTCCTTCACTTGGACTAAAGTGAACGAGGGCACCGATCTGCATGCCAGAACCGGCCACAAGTGCTTCAAGCCGTATCCTGACCAGATGATGGTCATTGGAGGCATCACCTCCCAGGCTGGCAACACCATCAGCTGCTTAGATGGAGGGCCAGTTGTCATGTTCAACCTCACAAGCGCATCATGGATGACCTCGTACGACCCTTCGGTGCATGGCGATTATGGCGTCCCAGACAAGGTGGTCGAAGCCATTGGAGGAAGTCCAACGGGCGGAGCGACCCTCACATCTCCGTCTCCGTCGGGCTGGGCCAACAATGACCTGGGCAAGGTCTTTGGTACCAATTACGATAAGAAGAAGATCAAGACATACTATCCTTACGCAGCCGCCGCCACTCAGACGACACGACCGACCCTAAACCCCGACAGCGGCAACAGCAAGGGAGGATCCGGTCTTCCGTCGTGGGTCGCCCCCGTGCTTGGCGTTGTCCTTGGTCTCATTTTCCTCACCGGTGTCATCGTCGTCTTCTGCCTCTACCGCAGACGCAAGCTCCTGAAGAGTGGCTCTTCCGAGAGCGGAACTGAGGATGCCGGCAACAGAATCATCTCGTGGATGAAGGGCCAGCATGTCACTGAGAAGGCCGTGACAGTGACGACTTCCGACGACATTCCGGTTTACAGCACCACAAAGAGCCCTGAGATGGGAGAGCTGAGGAACAATGGCCCCCTGCCCCCTCCTCCGCCATCAGTCTCTGCCAGTGCCACTGTGCCAACTTCGTCGCCAGAGCCTACCCAGTTCTCCGAGATGGGAGGAAACCCCATTGCTGAACTAGGTGGTGAGTAGAGATGGGACAATCTTTCCCTGCTTCGATGGAGTTATAGTTTGCTAACCGAGTTGTCTTTTAGATACATCCCCGCCTGCCGAGCTTGGAGACAACCCCTTGTCTGCAGCCGCCGCCGCAAGATCCAATTCGCCGTCGGGCCCCTCCGAGTTGTACAGCTCATCCCCAAGATCTTCCGTCGCGGGGTATGTCGATGCTCACTCGCGTGCCGAGTCGCCCGAGTCGCCTGCCATCCCCGTCTCCCCGGAGCAGTTTGGCGACAGGCAGGGCATGAGATCAATCCCCGAAGAACTGGCCAGGTTCGGCCCAGTGGAGAAGGACGATGACAGGCCGGCCGTTGGCAGGACAGAGTCTGAACAAACACAGCTGTCGCCCATATCTCCACCAACAGCCGGTGATGTGGTCGGGCAGGACTATATTTCGGCTCGACCCACCGGCTCTCCGGGCCAGACCAGACCGAGCGTGTTCCGTGAGCACGAGGAGGATATGGGAGACAGGCGTTGAAAGTCACATTTTATAGGTAGTTAGGCCGGTGCACGGGTTGGCGGAGGGGCGTTATTTGCTCTTTTATTCGTTTCATTCCCTCATTTATAGCAAGCGAGCTAGGGCGATACCCCTGGCTGGATCCTGAAATTTGTTGATGATGCATGGTTACTGTTACGGTTCACGAAGAATGCTGTCATGGATTTCACGATTTGGAACTCTGTTACTCTGGTTTATTTTGGACAATGGCTTTATTTTTATACGGACTCTCGTTTATATCTACACATGCTTTTGTAATGAGCAAAAAATAACTTTTGTCTTCACCTTCATTTAATATCAGACTTCTACTAATTCATCCTCTCCTTCCTCCTCCTCGGTGACTTCCTTGACACGCTCGTCCGCAGCGATCTCTCCCTCCTTTCCGGGCTCCTCCTCGTCCCGCATGAGCACCTGCACTAACCGGTCGCACGCCTCCTTGACATCTGCGTCCTCGACCCGTGAATGCGTTTCTCGAACGATAGGGTACACCTTGATCTGTCGCAGCAGCTCTCTTCCCTCCCTCGTAGTTGTGAAAAGCATCAGCGTCTCCACGTGAGTCTGGACAATGCTGTTGTCGCTATCCCGCTTCTTATCTTCTGGCAGGAGCTGCAGATCCGGCAGGAAATCCAGCATCTCATCCTCGTCGTACTCTTCACTTCCCATGATGGGCAGGAGGATATAGGGTAGGATGTTGATCTCGCTCTCTGAGAAGAAGGCTGGATGGGACGAGACCTCGAACGCCACGTTCTTGATCGTGCTGGCGACACCCTTGCGGCGGATATCGGACTTGTGCTCGGTGAAGACCTTGAGCTTGGACAGCGGCACGACGCCGTCGTACTTTTGGGGCGCGAGGAAATACTGCCTGATCTCGGCGTGCTTGGACAGGTCGGCGAAGACATAGGCGAGGTAGTCAAAGTCAGCCTTCTTGTTGTAGCCGCCGTCCTGGCCCTTGACGAAGAGATCCATTAGCTGGTTCAGCGCGTTGTCGTCGGAGCCCAGGGCCTCGGGGGCGGTCTGTTTCCTCTGCAGTGTGCTCTTGAGGCCATCCCACTTTGCGAGGTTGGCCAGGAGCATGGCTAATAAGTTTGCATTGGGTTCTTCGGGGTTCTGGAGTTTTGTTAGGGCAGATCAGGACGGTTTCCACCATTTTGAAGAGTTTGCTCACGATTATATACGAGAAGACAACCTCGAGGAATTTCTCGTCGGTTGCTACAGCCTCCAGAACTTCAGGGTCGCCTGTGAGGTTGACCAGTATAGTGGCTGCATTTTCAGCGATTTTCTAATCATAATACTGGTCAGCATTTTTCTGCGCGGGCGCATAGAAGCGCTTGTAAGGGGGTTACGTTAAGACTTACAGGATGATCCTTGATCAGGAACTTCAAGTGCTTTACAGGCTGTAATTTGTCTGCCTTAAAGATGGAAGGCTCTGCTGTCGAGTATGGCACCAAATTTTCAACAGCGAGAGCGCGGATGTTGATGTTGGGACTGGCGATGAACCCCACCAACTGGGTTGAAATTTTGAAATCAGTCTTTGAAATTCTCGGACAGTTTTCTTGGGCACTGTCTCACCTCTTCCAGTTCAGTAGGCATGATGTCCTTTTTTTTCCACCAAAAATATGTACAGATAGGAGGTTACTGGTGAGTCGCCGTATCTCACAGAAGTGCGCCGCGGGCTCTGCAGAAGTTTTATAAATGACGATAAAGATGGAGGGGCAGCGGCAAGTCAGTCATAGTGGGGTTAAGGGTCTATTCCAGGCGGCGAGATGACCAGCATTTCAGTGGATATTACAGCGTCATAAGTTCCCACGGAGGCAGGCAAGGGATCTCAATCTTCCAATTCTGTCGGCCTTATTCTATCAATTTCATCTCGGGAGATTTATATTCAAGATCTACCTTAAGAAATCCTCGGGGCTTTTGTGCTAGAAACAGATGGAAATTGGCTTACTCTATGCCAGACTCCCCAGGTGGCAGGCAGGCGTATTGGGCTCATCTTGAATGTTTCTGGGGAAAATCTGATCTCAAAATATTCTCTCGGACAAATTTATTAAAGTAAATGAAAAGACAAACATATAACATCTCCAATTTCCTTTCAAAGATATCTGCAGACCAGAAGGGTTCACCTTTTCTTGTAAGAGCTCCGGAGGCGGTGAAAAGTACAAATATACCGAGCTAAACCTAGATAAGAAAGAGGGGTGGCAGATCGATAAGAACAAAATTTTTGATAATTCTGCCACACAATCGGCCGGATATATCAGAATTGTATGCAGCCCTCGAATTTGTCTTTGCGCTGTTATAGCCAGTAAATCAACAAAAACATAATGCCAAAGGCCACAACTCCCACCGCCGGCCGCCAGGGTCGGCGCCACAATCCCCTTGAAGAAGATGTCATTGCGACTGGAGTCCTGCGAACCAAGCCTGGGAAGAGAAAGTCCAAGGACCGCGACGAGAATGACGAGCACTATGTGGATTCCAAAGCCTCGAAGAATATCCTGCGCATCGGTCGCCAGCTGGATGAGGAGGATGCAGAGACACGAGCTCAGCCCCCATCAGCCACAATTGACAACTTTGGCTACGACTCTCGCTTTGAGGACGGGCCCGAGGAGGAGAACCAGGTCTATGGCGATGACGACGAGGCCTGGGGCGACGAGGATGAAGTTGTCGAAGAGATCGAGGTCGACCCCGAGGACCTCGAGACCTATAAGAAGTTTATGCCAGATGATGAGGATGATCTGTTAAAGCATGGCTGGGATCGCCGGCCAACTGGCGACGAGCAAGAGAGCGAGACCATTAACCTGGCTGATCTGATCCTGGAAAAGATTGCCCAGCATGAAGCTGGCGAGGCTAGGAAGGCCGTCGGAGTACCAGACGAAGACTACGAACTGCCACCAAAGGTCGTGGAGGTCTATACAAAGTATGTTCTTCTACTAGTCAAATCATGGCGTATGCCTTTTCCGATTGCTAACAACTTCTTCTTGTAGGGTCGGTCAGATCCTTTCTCGCTATAAGTCCGGACCTCTACCAAAGCCCTTCAAAATCCTACCGACTATCCCCCACTGGGAGGAAATCATCGAAGTCACAAGGCCTGAGAGCTGGTCGCCAAACGCCTGCTACCAAGCGACGAGAATATTCGTGTCCAGCAAGCCCCATGTCGTGCAGCGATTCCTCGAGATTGTGGTTCTGGAAAAGGTCCGGGAGGACATCTATGAGAACAAGAAGCTCAACGTGCATCTGTTCAACAGTCTAAAGAAGGCGCTTTACAAGCCCGCGGCTTTCTTCAAGGGCTTCCTGTTCCCCCTGGTTGGCAGCGGGAGCTGCACGCTCCGAGAGGCACACATTATTTCAGCTGTCCTTGCAAGGATTTCCATCCCCGTCCTTCATTCCGCAGCTGCTCTCAAAGGTCTTTGCGACATCGCGGCCCAAGAGGCTTCACAAGGCACAGAGGGAGGCGGTGCAACCAACATCTTCATCAAGACGTTGCTTGAGAAGAAGTACGCTCTTCCATACCAGGTTATTGATGCACTTGTGTTCCACTTCCTGCGATTCCGAAGCGTCGATCCTGCCTCAATCAGGAATGGGGACGCCATGGATGGCATCGAGCGTGAGGGAGATGCCAAGACGAAGCTGCCTGTGATCTGGCACCAGAGCTTGCTGGCCTTTGCTCAACGATATAAAGGAGATATCACCGAGGATCAGCGCGAGTCTCTGCTGGATCTTCTTCTGAGCCACGGCCACAGCGCCATTGGGCCTGAGGTCAGGCGAGAGCTGCTCGCCGGTAGAGGACGAGGAGTGCCGCTTGAACAGCCAGCAATGGCCCTAGATGGAGACGATACCATGATCATGGATTAGGAAAGGAAAAAGGGAGGCACGAATGTATCAAGGATATCATCATCAAGGGCGTTTGGAGTTTCTTAGCCGACGATTTACGATTGCTTCTCCTTCCTAGAGTATTAGAATCTCTAGGTGGTTCATACATATTCACTTATTTATTTACTTTTTCAATAGATGTCAATCGCATTTATCCTGACCCTGATGCTCCCGCATTCCTCAATGACGAAGGAATGATATTTTCAATGCCCAAATCACTCGAAAACAATCAACTTCACTCGCTCCCAACTAGGTATTTGCCCTCTAGTAAGGCAGGAGCTACCTACCTACCTACCGGGACAGAACAGACTTGGTACCTTAGGAAAGCACCTACCCTCGAGACGAGATAACTACTTGATTTTCTCAGTGCTGACTGCCCATGCCTGAATCTTACAACAAACACCCTCGCTTGTTCGTCGATCCTATCGCTAATTTAATATTCTTTACAACGCTTCACCTATGAATACATTTGTTTCCTTTTATTTCTCCTCGTGTAACTAACTACCTACGGCTGGCCTCTATCTATCAGGATGTCCATTAAGAAGGGAGCAACGACTAGGCAACAACGACACGACGATCATCCAGACAAGCCCCTGAGCATCCTCCTCAGGTGTAACAATGTCTATTTCCTTGAGTCCTTGGTCGACCCCTTCAAAAACGCCGTTTACCGGAGATTCTAGGCATGCTCTATTTCCATTTTCCAGATCTTCAGCCACCTAAATAATTGCTGACATCTTCCAGCTACTTTCAGCTTGATGTACCTGATCCGCTCCAAGCCCGGAGCCATACTCCTCCACCTAGAGCCAACACACCTCCTATATGTTTTACCACCAGCGGCCTAGCTACACATGATTCATGGCCAGGGGCGATGGCTAGCTCTCGATCTTCCTTTCAAAATTCATCGACCAGTGCCGGCCCATTTCAACGGCTCACAACGCATCCTTTACAATCCTTTGGAGTCGACCCGCCTCGCCCAGCTCGAGATGGTTTCGAGTAGGTCTGGTATCCTGATGGGTATTGGGCAGAGCGATCTACCTCGCCCCTCCACCGGAAAGGAAGCACAGGCAGCCGCTTTTGGAAATGGCGATCTCGCTCTACCAAATCCACAAGTGAGGCAGACATACAAGACCAGCCTATACTGCAGCTTCCACCTGCATCCAAACAGATGATTCAAACTGCACCTGGAACTCCAATGAGCCCATATCTTACAGAGTCTGCCCATGTATCCTCGCTGCAAAACCCACTCAAACGCCGAGAGAGTAGGCTGAATGAGATCAAAGTGACGGAATCCGCCTCGCCCATTGAGGATAGCGTACAAGAGACGCTGTCACGGAAGTCATCTTTAGAGACTCTAATCCGGAAATCATCGCCAACTTTAGCCGAAACGTCTGCTTACTCGCCGAAAAAGCTATACTTAAAAACTCTAAAAACCTTCGAGTCTCGTTTCAGAGCGAGGCATGATGTCAATCAAGATGTAAGCTAGTTCAAAGCAATACTCGAGACTCGAAATCTAAAAGACTGCTTATAGCCAGCCCACAATACAGCGGCAGGCGCAAAAGGATGTTGCCAAATTCCCATCGATAAGCTAGCCCAACTCAACAGTAAGTCAACTTCCTGGTTTAAAGATGAACATGGGACCTCGAAGTTCTCCAGAAAAAATTTCTTCGGCAAAGCCCCTTGGCATCGGAAAGAGTCTGGAGACTCCTGCAGTAGCGTGGCCAGTTCTGTGAGGGAGATCCTCAGAGGCTCAACGCCTCCAGGCACGCCAGTTTCTGGATATACTGCACATCGTGAGTTGCGGTATTGAGAGTCACGGATTGCGCGTAGACTAATATGATGTTCAGATAGCACGCACTCTATCAACAACCAATTTCCAGGCGGAGTACGTTGTCTTTTGTCGTGACTGTTGACTAAGTTGCTAAACGAAGTCTGGTTAGGAAGCCCAAAGAATACCAACTCCGCCACTGGACGAAGACACGGCTGACGGGAAAGCTCGAGGATTCTTTACCTGCTCAATTCCCCCTACAGATGGAGGACCTGAGACAGACTCGCTGCAATCTCGACACCATGCACTTTCACGTAGTGACATTCACCGCCGTAGCCTGAATGCCCCGCCACGAGAATGGTGGGAACAACCTCCCCGTCGAGTTGTCAAGAAAGACACATCCCGAGTTCCAGGGACCTTTGAGTTTGATGTCCCAGAGCATTTACCAGGCAGCCCATTATGTCCTGCAAAGCAATCACGACAGGGGGGCCGAGGTGGACTGTGTGTGTACCATGGTAGAAGCCGTACGGGAACTCTTCTACGCGAGGAGACAATCAATCGAGGGAGTGAGGATTTACAAGAGGATGAAGGTTAGCACCATCCTGCCAATGACGGACACCGCTGGGAAAGTAGGCAATCAGGTTTGATGGTATACGAGTGACTTGTCATCTGATGACATCCAAGGCTAGACTTGGGGAAGGAAGTGGCACAGCAATTGTAATAGTCATAAATGAGAAACAAGCTGGTCGATCCTTGCTTCAAGATTTGTATGGTTGTCTTCTTCCTGGCAACTTGGTTGCAGGATGGCTGTGTAGTCAAGCCGGAAGGCTAATTTATACTCTAGGTTAGCTAAGCGGCTTCAGTGGAGTTGTACACCTGATAGCGCGCGCCGTAGAAGGGGTTAAGCACTTAACGCGTCTTCACGCGTTGGTCGATCAACCAGAAATTTAAACGACCTACCCGGTGCTAATCCCAGCAACCCAGGAAATGGCGACTCGGCAAGATCAACAAACCCAACATACGCCATAATTCTAATCAACAGACCCTCTGCACAGCTCGAATCAATCCCATATGTCAGAAATAAACCAGGAAAATGCAACGCCTAGTGGAGAGAAGCGAGCTGCCGACCCCTTATCGGTAACCCCGTCGACGGCCAAGAAGCGCAAACTAAACAGCTCCGCCAACGAATCCCCGTCCGCCCAGGGAGCCTTCAATGCGATTACATCGAAAATTTCCAATTATTTTGGCTTCGGCCGGACAGATCAGGCGGCGCCGAACGGGGCGGCGAGTCCATCAGCCTCGAGCGGCACTAATGAGGCACCGAAGCCGGCAGTTCGCCCTGCGATCAAGTTGAAGGCGCTTCGTGGAACAATCTGGGACAATGAGGAGAAGCCTCGCTTGCTTGCGTCCCCATCCAAGGGCTCACCCGCGAAGCAACGAGGCAGGGGAACACCAAAGGGGACACCAAAAGGAACACCCAAGGGCACGCCAGGGAGGAAGAGACAGCCGCGACTCGACGATACCCCGACAAAGCCACGCTCGACCGTGAAAAAGATAGCGACGACTCGCGACGCGATAGACAATGAGTTATCAGAGGACGAGCTAACCAGCGACAATGTGGGGACACCGATCAAACAGACGCCGGGGAAGAGGCTGTTTGGCTCGGCTGCGGACTCCCCAGCTCCTAAATCGATCCTGACGCCCTCGAAGAACAGGAACCAGACGCCAAAAAGCGTCAAATTTGACAGCAGAATCGATGGCGAGGTCTTCTTCGACGACTTACCCAAGACATCGCCAATCAAAAAGTCGGCGAGCCCACGCAAGCCCAAGGCCCAGCCGGTGGTGACGAACGAGATCGTCTGTGGGATGTGCTTCAAGCCGCACTCCAAAGCACCGAATCAGATTGTCCTCTGCGAGAATTGCGACTATGCTGTCCATCAAGAATGCTACGGGATCCTGGAGATCCCTGAAGGCGACTGGCTGTGCAAAGCGTGTTCACAGGAAGATGCACTCGTGCCTCGGCCAGAAGCGACAGTGGTACCCACGACGATTGTAACGGCACCCGCTGAAGCGATAGATGTACCGGAGATTCCTAATTTCGACCACCATTTACGGTCCTATCAACGGGTGTTGATAGACCGATGTACGGGTCAGCGACGGATTGAGATATTTGGGCTCCAAGATGTACACGAGAAGGCGCACCAGCTCATCGAGCAGACTGTAGTTGCTGGTGAGGGAAACTCGATGCTCCTAATCGGTGCCAGGGGCAGTGGGAAAACAACAGTATGTGCTTCTTTTCAAAGTCTGGGAGATTCATACTAATAAGCAGCAGTTGCTGGAGAATATTATTGCAGATTTATCAAAGGACCACGGGCGGGATTTCCACGTCGTCAGGTTAAATGGGTTCATTCATACTGACGATAAACTTGCTCTGAGAGAGATCTGGCGCCAGCTTGGAAAGGAGATGCAGGTCGAGGACGATATTGCAAACAGAGTAAACTACAGGCATCTTTAATTCATTGGAGTAAATATATTGGCTAACAGCATCGCCTCTTCTAGACCAACTATGCCGACACCATGGCCTCGTTACTGGCACTTCTCTCACATCCTTCAGAAATCATGGGAACGGATGAGGGACTGACATCACAATCCATTGTCTTCATTCTTGATGAGTTCGACATGTTTGCTTCGCATCCACGTCAAACTCTACTCTACAACCTGTTTGATATTGCACAATCGCGCAAAGCACCGATCGCCGTCCTAGGATGTACTACCCGACTTGACATCGTGGAATTGCTGGAAAAGAGAGTCAAGAGTCGATTCAGCCATCGTTACATCTACCTCACGCTACCCAAAAGCTTACCCGCTTTCTGGCAAGTTTGTCGGCAAGGGCTAATTGTCGAGAGAAAGGATGCCCAGAAGGAAGGAATCGACATCAACATGGAGGGCTACGGCGAGTTCCACAAGTACTGGAGTCAGAAAATTGATGTAAGTGCAGGCACATGTCTATTTTTCTTTTCTTTTTTTGGCGGCGGACGATTAATCTTTGAGCAGGAATTATATAAGCAGAAGTCATTCCAAGAACTGCTCCAGTACCATTACTATACGACCAAGTCTGCGGCGGCGTTTTTCAACGACTGGGTTCTCCCCCTGTCACTACTATCGAAGACTAATCTGGTAATTGACACGCCAGCCGTGGCCGCAGACTTTACATCATTAGCACCGCCGGACTCGCGGATGCACCTCCTCTCAGCACTCTCAGATTTGGAACTGAGCCTGGTAATAGCTGCGGCACGACTGGACATTGTGGCACACACTGACACGGTCAACTTTGCCATGGCTTACGACGAGTACAGCTCGCTGGTGGGCAGACAGCGTGTGCAGTCGGCCGCTTCGGGAATGCTGGCGGTTGGTGGTGGGGTGGGTGTCTGGAGCAGAGGCATTGCCAGAATCGCCTGGGAAAGGTTAATCACATTAGGGTTGCTAGTACCGTCAGCTGTCGGTGGAGGGAAAGCGATGAGCCATGGTGGCTTGGAAGGAAGAATGTGGAAGCTGGATGTGGCCCTCGAGGAGATTCCGTGGGCTGTGAAACTTAGTACGGTCCAGACCAAGTGGTGCAAGGAGCTGTAGAGAGGCCTATGTGGTTATGATTGAAAACTTACGTGCTGTGTGAGAGCGCATTCAGAGGCATGATATACTAATTAGACAAAACACCCGCCGGCTATAGTCAGCTGAAGGGGGCGAATATATTCAATTAGGAAATTCACACAACAGATCAGGGTAGGGGTCAACTGGATATCCGGCAACCTGATCCCTCATCATTCGTCCCTTGAGGGCGGACCGCAATTGCTCACAGTCAGCAAACACCACGTCGGGTGAGAATGTGGCTTATGCTCAGAGCATGATTAAGCGATGCTGGAGCTATTCTTGGGATCATCATCACCCCAAAGCGGATGCTAGCGCCGACTTGGAACAGGACGGCGCTGAACGAGGCGATTCGAGAAACGTTAGTGAATATATATCGGTTTTAGCTTCATCAGCCTCATGGCGGTTGCACGCTGGTCTCGGCTGCAGTTCACCCTCCACACGGTTAGCTGGGTCACTATTGATCGACAGACAACTCACGTCCATGCAACCCTAGAGGCCGAGACAGACTAGCCCCAAGCCCAAGCTCCCTCTTCAGACGCCGCCATATATCCAACGTCCGCCCGCCCTCGTAATCCAGGCTCGCCAGACAATTCGTTAGCTGGCGATTGAGCAGAAACGAGCTGAAAACCGCTTCTCTACCCCCATCTCGCTCAAGGAAAACAGAACAAACATCACCAAATTCTGCCGCAGCACCCAGTCCAAGCAACCTCACCTCCGCCATCGGGTCGTGACACCCACCCAAAACCCGCCCATCATGCTGAAGCGCACCACCTTCACAAACATCTCCCCCTTACCGCCCTCGGTGTCACGCGAGACCGCCCTCGACTTCCTGCACAACCACCTCGAGATGATCGACCTCAACCCGCTCGTCATCGAGCGCCACGCCATCCCCGCCCCCGACCACGCCGAGCCGGACGAGCACAGCTGCGCCTGGTACTCCATCACCGACAAGATCTCCTACATCCCCGGGTCCGACCTCCTCTCCGGCGAGGTCTCCTACACCGCCGCCTTCCACAACCTCTCCGACGGGCTCCAGACCCACTGCCACGCACCCATGGGACTCGACCTGCGTGAGAGGTGGTCGGTGGGAGGGCGCCTCCCCCACGAGCCGCCGGAGACGCAGGAGCTCGGCCTAGGCGCTCCCGCCACGGGCTTGTACATACGCGAGGACATCGACTTCCGCTGCAACTTCCTCATGGCCGGCTTCGTCAGGAAGACGCTGAGCAAGGCGCACGGCACCGTCGTCGAGGCCATGGGACGCAAGGCCCTAGCAGCCGGCGGAGCCCCTTCTGCGTCGCTGGGATCTGCTCCCCATGCCGGTGCCGGGACACATTCCGCAGTAGCCAGTGGCGGTGGTGCTGCTGCGCCGTTCGGGGTGAACCACCAGCAGCAGCACGGCGGCGTCCAATACAGTGGTGGCCGGGACGACGGTGGCATCCCAAATGCTGCTACTGCGTTCCAACGGGCCCCTCCTCCGTGGGCGGCACCGCCCGACGTCCAGAACAGGGCTCACGCACCCATGTTGTTCTCCGAGCTGGACGCAACGGGCGACAACAAGATACAGGCGCGCTGAAAGGGGAGGGGAGTGACACTGCATACCATCCATTGAAGATCCTACGATGGAAGCTCGAGGGGTCGCCACTAGCTAAACGAGATCAACGGACAAGGAGTAGAGCAAAAAAAAGGCTTTATATTCCACCTTGCTCAAGGTGCTGTATGAAAGGAGCTCTACGACAACACCAAATATGCGGTCATAAGTTACAAAAAAAGAAAACCCCCATCTATCAAAACCAGAAGAATTAACCCCATTAAATGTCGCCAACTCCAAGAAGGAGGAAGAAGAATCATTATACCAGCTTGAGACCGGCCCACATCAGAAATGTTAAAAAAACGCCCCTCGTGGAAAGAAGAAAGAGAAGAAGAAGACAATTATGAAGTACCAGGGATCCAACTCAGCGAGAGAGCCCTGGGAAAGAAAGCAAGGGGTGGCCGTGGCCACGGAAGGGCGTCGACCTGAACACCCGCCAGCGCGGGAATCTGGGCTGGGACCCGATTACAGGGCCATAAGACCGGCAATGACAGCACCAGCGGCGACGGCGAGGCCGAACTTGGCGTTGCTGCCCTCGGCGCCGGAGACCTTGATGGGAGGGTTGGGGTTGTTAGGAGTGTTAGGGGTCGAGGGAGGGCTGCCGTTGTTGACCGGCGGGTTGGCAGTGGGCTGAGAGGGAGGAGGAGCAGAGCCGGTCTGGGGAGGTGGCGAGGCGCTGCCCGTGGTCTTGGGGGGAGGCAATGGGCCGCCGGTCGTGGGGTGGTGAGGCCTGTGGGTGGGAGTGTGAGTCTCGACGACTGTGCAGGGGCAGTCGGTGATGGTGAGGGTGGTCTCCTTGGTCACGGTGTACTTCTTGCCGTTGAAGTGGAGGGTGGTAGGCCCCGGGCAGTAGGTGGTGTAGGCCGTGAGGGTCTTGGTGGTGGTGACGGTCTTGTTGTGGTGCTCCCCTCCCCAGTTCCAGTTGGCGTCCGGGGTAGGACGAGGTCCTTGAGGGCCGGCCTGGGGGGCGGCAAGAGCGAGGCCGGCGAGGGCGAGAGAGAGGACGGCTTGGGCGTGCATTATGAAATTAGGTCTTGGGTGAGAACGGTGATTTGGTTGAGCGAGTGGCTGGAATCAAAGAGATTCGAAATTAAGACGTCGGTGTATGAACGAGTGTAGAGAAGAACCGGCTGGGTAAGATGGTGATAATGAATGAAAGACAGGCTTCTGAGTGCAGCAGCTGTGGTCTTATATGCTGTTTCCGGTCGTCGAGGGCGCGAAGACGCCGGAGTCACGAACACGTCTGAAAACAAACAGACCCGTAGGTGAAAGCAGCGCTGTGTTGTGAGATCCATCTCATCCACATCCATCGCCAGGCCTGGACTGGTTCTGTTCCTGGTCCAGCTCGATTGAGCTGTGTTGATCCCCGTCGCATTCCTATTCCCGTCATTCCAAACCACCATCGCCAGATTACCAAGCGTGCCAATGCCATTGAGACCTGCCCCTGTCTCCCGGTCTCCTGGTCGAGGTTCATTCCTACTTGCACAGCTTTCATTTCGATTGATCCAATTTTCTTCTCGATTGTGATGAGGTGCCCACTTCTACTAAGTACAGATGCTTCAAAGTTGAGAATCTCGTCATCTTCCGCCTTGATCTTCCCATATCACGACAACTGTCTCACAGTCCCATTGTGGTGAAAGATTCCTCCTCAGCCAATCGTGACGGACGTGCGGGTTGGGTCCCAAAGAGCAAAAAGATCGGGATATCACTGCCGGCCGCAATAAACAAGCTCCCTTGGCAATACTGTACAGTTCAGCTCTAGTAGTCATTCTCCGTCCGTCCTGCGCAATCCAGCTCTATCCGGGCCACACAGGCTTCCTGCTTCTCACGAAAATAAGGCTTGCTTTGCTTTCAGGTTCCAACTCTCAATCCAATTATGTGCCTCCCTTTTTTTCCCCTCGTCTGCTTTGTACTGCAAACGAGCGGAAGAATCCTCAGGTACTACCCGGTCCTCTCTATTCCAGCGTTCCAGCCAACGCCCTAAAACTAAGCCGCCCTCCATAATTCCTCAAAACAATATGAAAATGCAACCAAGGCAATTAGATCTGCACGGTTCACAAGACTTGGTGCCGGCAACGGCCTCATGAGGCCGATTGAGCCGGTCCCATCCTTGTTGCCATGAGAGGTTGCTTCAAGCACAAAGACATGAAGCAAAAGAAAAATAAAATTGAGATAGAAGAGAAATAAATAAAAAATAAAAACAAACAACACCAATGATGCACATGATAGATAAAGCGAGGGAATCTATTATGGTTTGGTCGTCCATGTCGTACAGATGTCCGGTGGTGGGAGCAAAATGGTTTGCATTTGCATGCTGAGCCCGTTCACAACAGGCTTCCTCGGATGCCTCGCTCGGATTAGAGCACGGCTTGACTCCCCGATATTCGTCGGGGATGAAAAGTGTGTTTCGTGCTCATCCGGAGAGCCAGATCCATTCGCCACGGGTATGGTCTAAGGGCAACACAATGGGATGAAAAGGAAAAGGTCATCATGCGTGTCGTTTATTGCCAGCTGAAAATGGCTTAGCGGTAGAACGTGTTCTTTATAACTGAGTGCGAACGTCGCTTAGTTTCGGTTTGAGCGACTCTGGCTGCGCTCAGGCACACGGCCCATGTTGTCGAATTCGTAGTTGCGGAGCTGCTGCTCGTACTTCGGGCTGCGGAGGAACTTGGGAACGGAGTCCTAGAAGTAAAGTGTTAGTAGTCGGCCCCGTCGACAGCAACACCGGATAATGGTTGCGTGTGGGTGAGAAACTTACGCTAGCCATCAGCTTGAAAACGGCATTTTGGGCGTCCTCGAACAATTCCGTCACCTCCTGAAGTGTTTCAATCATGGTGACATCCTGACCAACCGCCTTGGTCATCCTCGTGGCCAGGTTGTTGCGAAGCTGATGGTCAATGTTGAGCTCGCAGGGAGAGCCAGGGGCCAAAAAGGCATTGTAAATACCATAGGCCTGGGCCATGATCTCCTTGACGCTGTCCATTGACGCGTTGCTTTGAGGGGCGCCCTGCGTCGCATTCTTGCCTGCAGGGGGTTGGGTCTTGAGCGCATGGCGAATAGCCGCCTTGCAAGAACGAACAAAATCATCCACATCCATGTAGAATGACAAGTTCTCCTCGCAGTGGGTGTCACGAAGATACTCGCGGAAGAGCAGACGCAAAGCTGCATCAGTGAGGATCTTGTCAAGACGCTGAGTGTTGGAGTCTCGGTTGATGCCATTGCGAGGCGTGGGGTTGCCACCTTCGCTTTCTGATTGACGGCCACGGGTGCTGGTTCCATTGATGACGTCCTTTCCGTGTTGTGTGATTTGGTAGATGGCGTACTTTGTGGGCTGGAACAAGTTGCAGCCAGGGTTTTGAGACATGAATGAGCGATCCTGGGCAACAGGTTCGAGCAGCTCGTTCTCAACGAACAGGGTAGCAACTTCGATCGTCTCTCTACGATCAACGATGGTGGAGCAGTCCATCAACCAGTCAGAAGCAGCCTTGCCGGTCATGGTCTCCCGGTATGTCTTGCCATTCACCTTACGCTCGGCTGCCATTTTTACTCCAGTCAAGCCATCCTTGTAGTCATGAAGTGAGTCGGAGTCGGCTGCCGTCACGCTCGACTTGATGTTTCGACCGTCTGTGCCAGCAAATCGGCGGAAGATGACATCGAGGGTGCTTCGGTCAGTCACCAACTTGTCGGTGTGCTGGCTTCTCTCCAAGATAACGAGGTGAGCCGCATTTCGGTTCACCAGCTCTGCAACCTGCTTTTGTTGAATGCCATTTCTCGAGCAGAACCTATCCAGCACGGTGACTCCCTTAGCAGTTAGTTGCCAGATTCCTCCTTTCATGTTGTAGACTTGTTGGTATTTTCCATCAGCACTCTCGATGAAGCGAGCCTCGAGAAATCGCTGGCAGATCGACCGTGCCATATCTTTTGCCATAGAAAAGGTAGTTGTAGTCGTCGTTGTAACGATTCGTGATGGATCTTTAGGGTCCGGCATTCGGTTGCTTTGGGAGAACTTGAGAGAATTGAGGTTGCTGATAGCATCTTCAGAGAGGAATGTGTAGTCCACCTTGGTCAATCGAACACGATGCGCACCGAGAGGAAGTAAGCTGACGATGAGTGTGGAGAAGAGATCCTTGAAATCCTGCAGAGCTGTAAGTCAATTTGTGTCTCAAGTCTATCGTCTTGCGGTCTGAGGGCCCCTGTCGCCTGATCCAAAACCATCCATCCCACCAACCCGGATACCCTCGTTGGCCCCTCTGTTAAAGAGTTGGGCTCAATTGAGGGGTCCTTGCTACGAAAGGGAGCACAGAGCTCAATGGCGCTTCTCTCACTACAGCTGCTGTCGTCGCGGGCCAAAGACTTATTGGGAGGGTGAGCAATAGGGTGGCAGGAAATTGAAAATACGTACTCTTGTGAACGGGGGCTCATCATCCGTCATGCGCAGTAACCGCGAGGATGTTTGATGCATTGTGTTGTTGGTGACCGGAGACCGGTGAGGAAGCGGCCGGCTTGGGTCAGTTTCAGAGTAAGGCTGTGAGATCGGCACTTTGGCCGGGGCAGCTGAAGCAGGCTGCTTGCCGTCCACGGTGGCTTTGGTGGATAGCGACTGGGTAGAGGGCTTCCTCAGAAGCGACTTCTTGTCCGCACTGTCGGGGTCGCTGAGCGGGATTGAGCTTTGGCTGAGGGAGAGGCGAGCGAAGGAATTCCTCTGGCGGATGACGGGGTCGGAGATGTTGGCGAGAGCGCTCTGGGTCTTGTCAAGAGCGGCAGCGGCCAAGGAGGAGAGGATGCCACTGGAGGAGCGGTGCGGCGCTCTCGATATCGAACTCGTAGACGGGGAGCTGTGGTGTCGGACGGAATGGGCGTAGTGGGATCCAGCGATGACAGAGTCGCTTGGCTTCCGATCCACGGTCGAGGAGTCGGCCGGAGGGGTTGGCGGTAACTTCTCAATGGGTGAGAGAGGAGGCGTTGGTGTTTGGGGGTGACCAGATAGTAGTGACAGTGGCTCGGGGATCGAAGTCTGGTGCAATGCGGCCATCTAACGGGCTTGGGGGAAAGGTGGTTTAAAGGGAGGGGAAGGAGCTCAGAGGAATCTTGGGAGGCGGGGAGGTTGATTTGATTAAAAGGCAGATCTAGAATGAAAGAGAAAAGGCGTGGTTTTTTTAGTGTGAGTGGGCTAGCTTGTATGAAGAAAGCGAGCACTGGGAGGGAACTGGGGAGCACAAAGGCGAGAGAGAATGCACTGCTCAGGCACTCAGATGAGGACTCATGGAGGTGGGTAGGGGGGGGTTGTAGAAGGGGAGCGCAGGGGGTGGGCTCAGAGACCACCCAGGGGGGTGCGGTGAAGTGACTGGAGTGGTTTAGTAGAGGCTGTAGGTAATAAGGTAGCCAAAGCCTCAAGAATTGAGACCAGGCAGGGGGGCCATGGTCCGAGAGGTAGCGAATACCTTTAGCGGCAACAGGGGGCCTGGAAGTCCCCAAGAAGGACCAGGTCTGGGTTACCTGCTGGCGAATGTCAGGCACCTTGCACCGTCACCTTTGGCGTGGGGTTCAGGGCGGGGCATTGCAACTAAGGGGGCGCCAGCGGGCTTGAGCCACCTAGCGAGGCGGCTGTACGCTGTCTGTAGGTCTCTCAGAGGCTGCCCTGGCCGGGCTCCAACTATTGGCCTAAGATGAAACAGAGGCTCGCCATTGCAGCATGTCTGACTGCTCAGCGGAAGGTCCTCTTTTATTGCATGCAGCGGCGAATGCTCATGCGACCTGTCAGTAGAGCCATGCCGCTGGCCCGGTGCTTCCATTGCCTTCAATCTCTCTACAGAACGCGAGGGTCAGAGCCGTAAGCTACAGATGGCCTGTGTTTGCGAGCAGGCACGGCCGGACCACGCTACAACGGACCGCTCGCTTAGATTTAGCATGGCATAAGGCACAGAAGTGCGGAAGAACCTTGAGACACTGCCAAGAAGACATGTCCTGGCAGAGCCCCAGATGGTCAAGGAAAAATTGCTTCGATGGAGAAGAAAAAATAACCTGCAGACAAGGCATGAGCGAGGCATGAAGCAAGGCCGCCAGACAATGATACGAGAGAGGAGACAACTGATCCCCCTGTAAACGCCGACTAGAAATCTTGGGGATCGAACTGTGAGCGAGCCTGTGCGCTGCCGTAGGAAGGTAGGTATTCTTATTCATACGAACCCCATCGCCGACTACCGACCCAGGTCCATTTACATCCTCCTTGCCCACGGCTCCAGCCTCGCATCGGGACACCCTAACGGGAGATAGGCGCCTGCACGAAGAAAATAATACTGGTCTTGGTCTGCGATGGTGGCAAAAGATAGTTGCTTGGCACAGAGCACTGCTCTAGGTATGACACACATGTTCGGGTGGCAGAACAATAATTGAGAATATTCGCCTATCGTGTTTCCGCTCCATCCTTCTTGCATGCCTCCGGCCTAGCTCGCAACGCGCGAGGCTCTCTAGCTCCAGAGCAGTTCAGGCTGGGCCTGCAGGTAGAGGGTACCCGCACCAACCCGGGCGGCAGATATGGGCTTGTCCAATATCGCATACATGCATTGCGCTACCTGCTGCAGTTCCTCGTGGTGGAAGTCTCACTAGAGATCGGCGGCGTGACTTTTAGTGTGACCGTCCTGCGACAATCACGTTGCGGCCATGCAGCGCTGTGCATTAACGCTAAACCGCCTACGCCCAGGGTGCTAGCTCCAGCCCACCGACACCTGTAGCGAGGTACATACCTACCTACTGGTGGGCACAGTCGCTGGGCCAAGGCTCGCCTCTCTCGCTCCTTGGGCCAAGACCCGGCTCGTCATCTCCCCACTCTCTCCCACGCACGTCGCTCCATCCCTCCCACCGCCCCCTGTCTCCCCTGCTTACCATGTGCAAACCTTGTGTTGCAAATGATAATAAGCGTCGCTCATATCCGGAAATCCTAAGGACCACCACCCTCTGCTGATTACTACACCACCATATCCGTCATTTCGGCCAAACATACTAAAGAGAAACCCTCATCTTGTCTCGTTGCCAATAAGAGTCCGAGACAGCTGAAAGGGGTCATCTTTGCCATGTCTGAACCACCACCCCTGATATCACTCTAGGGGTGCCGTCCCATGAATGTTTGACTTCGTGTTGGAGCTGACCAGGGAAACGGACAGCCCTAACATGTGGCAGAAAACCCGACGACGGATAAACAGCATACCCCGGGGTATGAGTTTTAATGACCCCTCGCCGAAGCTTGTTGGAACATTCGCCCTTCGGCGATGCCGTCACAGAGATGGGAATAAGCCGTCTGGTGACGTTCAAAGCCACTGGCCATGCACGTACATCGTAGGTATTTTCACTTTGCGCCGTGCGCCGGAGGCCAGCCGTGCAACAAACGGTGAACCCATCCAAGAATAGTGCCCGGCTGCCCCCAGCGCCACCTCCAGGAAACAAAGATGGGAATAAAATGGAAAAACAGCAATTAGGAAAAGGAAAAGTTTCCTCCGTCTCCCTGTAGGCCCGTAGCGAAGAGATTTTTTTCTTCTCTGTGATGCTAAAAGAAGCGCTAAACATGGACACGGTGGACGCTACGCCACTGGGCGTTGGTAGAGAGTTACATTCGGAACCGAAACGTTGAACCTTGTGCATCACCACTTCAATAACTCAGCCGACTAAGAGACGCAGCATCCAAATGGTGGCGTCGGCGACGGTGGCGGACAAGGAAGGGAACGGATCCTATGTCTGAGCAACAACAGGCGGTAAAACCTGTCGATTGACGGTGTCGGTTCCGCGGACAATATTCTCTAGCTCGAACCTCTTGACAACTCAATAGCGGTTTTGGGTATGCAACACGAGATCGCATTGGTCCATACCATGGTAAAATATACCATGCCTCACACAGACCCTCGCCTCGTGGTCAGCAGTGTTTCAACTCCCAGATGACCGGTGTTGCGGACCCCTTCTAGAAGGTTGCGGCGAGGCTGTACGTGTGTGTGTGTGTTGGCAAGGGCAGAGATCATGGCATTCAGCATGGGATTGGCTGATCTTCCATGGGTAGTTGCGCTCGCCCTGCGATGGCGATTCTGGAAAGTCTAACCGCCATTTTCCCCTTTTCTGCTGCCAGAATCAACCTGTTGTCTGATGGGCTTTTTCGCTATGTGGTTAGTTGCATGTATCCCCACCCCGATCGGCAATACCCCTATTGTCTCAACTCGACGGCGCTTTCAGGCCGTAGATGCCGTCTTATTGCCCATTTGACAGGGCCTGCCGTGGCCTGTGTGCGATGCTTGGGCCAGCTCTATGAGCACTCGCTGTCTAACCACAGCGGAATGACTTTGCTCCGCCGTGGTATCCCGCTGGCTACGGATGTCACACAAGATGAAAATGGCCAGGGTATCGTCGACGGCTAATAACGGGTGAATTGTAGTTAGCCAACACTGCTGTCGCCCTCCAGTTGTCTATCAAATCCCTGGGTTATTACATCATCCAGCCGGCGAGCTTCGCAGATCTCCTCGCCTCACGAACTGCATGCATGATCCGTAGATGTCTATTTTCGTGGCGAGCGACCAACACGTCATTCTAGCCACCTAGATGGCTTGGGAGCCGGGGAATAGAGATGACGGGAACAAAGAACACGAATGTCTCACAGCAAGGCTCTGGCTAGCGGATGCTCACTTTCAGGGAGGCGTGTCCCAAGAGGACGCTATACAGACCACAATCAGGGTTGGTCTTGTGAGCTACATGGTAGGCAGAGAGAGGCGTTATGTAATAGCCCGCTGGAGGCAAAAGAACTAGCGGCAGAACATTCCCCGGCGGCAGGGAGCGAACACCCAGGGCAAGCCATGTGGCAGTGGTGATTCCGTCCGTCCTACACGGGAATTTGCTATTAATATGGGTTTGTCAGGTAAGGTGCTTACCGGGTACGCAGGATATTGTACGTAGGTATCTCGAGCCTAGCAGGAAATTCCATCCCTTTCGGAGTCCCCAAGACCCAAAAGGAGCATGCCTCCTCAATGGGCTGGCAGGCTCCCCTCCCGCCCCGTCCCAGAGGCTGCCCCTCTCTACCCCTTTTCGGAGGACAGCCATGAGGACAGCACCGGATACGACCCATGTCAAGGTTTCTCGCTCTGGATGGTTCTCAGCGCTCAGAACACATCCACACCGGATGTGTACAAGATGGGTCTACGGTAGCGGAACCAAGACCGCCCAGTAATACGGTGCCTAACGCCGTTTCGGCCGATGCCACCTCCCCTGTGCTCCCTCCTCTACGTTCCATTGCTGTGGGTAGAGCAAGAGAGAACTTCGGCGCTATTCCAGACACACGTCGCCAGCTGTAACCTTGCATTCTCGCAGCGCTCCTCGTTCAATGCGAGTTTTTGCAGCCTGCTGGAAGTGTCCTGATTATCCGACATGCGGCCCCTCCCGCAGGTTCTGGGGTGGGCAATGACGCAGGGAGCCAGCATTCGGCGTGTGCTGCGTGGCTTGAAAACCATGCTTCGGGGGGAAGCAAGAGGAGGCGCCGAATATGCAGGTCGTACATTAGGCAGGCAGGCCTTCCGTCCCAGTATCTTGCTTTCCATGTAGCTGGCTGGCTGGCCTTGGGCCTGGCCCCCAAAACCCATCAACGAACTAGGCTGACAGACGGGGTACCCTTGGGCTGATGACTGGGTGCATGAGCCTGCCCCAACGTTACACGGCTGGTTTTGCTTTTTTTTCCCTCTCGGTCCTGGATCAATGCTCACTTTCCTTTTTTTTCCAACCCACGCATCTGCTCCAGGCCAGTCAAATCTCCATCCACTCCCTGCCTCCCGGATATCTATCCATGCAGGTAGATGAAAGCGGAAGTGGAATCTGAGTTCCAAAGACCCATTTGTGAGGAGATTTTTCTCGCACTAGTTGATGCTAGTGCAGTCCGTCTCATGGCGAATGGAATGTGCAATAGGAGATCATCCCCCATTCCCATGTAAACCCTGCATGGTGTCGGTTAAAAGGATCCCGCTATGTTCATGGACCATAGCGCTAGCACAGGGCAGACTCCATGTACCC